TGAGAGAGGATAATGTGGCGGAGGAAAGAAGAGAGGAGTGCGAGGAAGACGCCTCGAGAAGAGCAGGAAAGGAGTGGAAGGGGGACGGTTTTTTTTCCACCGCAGGACTCACACCAGTAATCCATATCCACATCCATCATCCGTGAGCAGCAGGGCCCCGACCCCAAAGTCGGGGCCCACCAAGGGTGAGACCGAGCGGGAGGGGGAGCAGCAGCAGCAGAGGGGCAGCAAGGGGGGGAAAGGGAGGAAAGGGTACTGGCTGAAACCCTTCGGCCACAGTTCTCCCTGGAACCACAGGCCGAGGTCGCCGCGGTACCTCGCGCGCGGGGGGGGGGCGCCAATCCCGCCCCCCAACGGAAGGGACAGGAGATGACAGGAGGTCCCGACCGAAGAGGGGGGGGGGGGGCGCACTTGGCACAGGGGGGGGGCTGCAGTCGCCCGACAAGCGGGGTCCATGCCCCACAGAGACTGGACTGCTTGCGGGTCCGTCTCACCTGTGCAGACCCACAACCCAGGCACACCAGGACAAGGACGCGTGCACGCGCCGACCACATCAGCTCCCTAAGAGAGCAGGCGGAGGGCACTTCAGGAACGAGGCGAAAGGGGCGGATGCAGGCGGCGGCGGGTGGCGGCGGGTGGGGGCGGCGGAGGGCGGCCGCGCGCGCGCGCCGTCGCCGCGCCCCCATCGACCCTCGACCGTGAAAGGCGAAGGCCCCAACCCAAGCCACACCACAAAGCAGCCAGCAGCAACGGCGCAGCGGAGCACGCAGGGGACACGCACAAGGGAGGGACACAAGGCACCGCAACCGCACGGGGGGCAAGGGGGGGGCAACAACAAAGGACCCAACACAACGACCCGCACCGCGAAAGCATCATCGCAATCAAAAAGGGGAGACGAAGGAGACGGAAGGAGAGAGCAATCGCGCAACGCCAGGCTGACTCACGCGTTGAGGCTGAGTGGGTCTCACTCCACGGAATACTTTGGCAACCTTCCTGTAGCGGCGAACGGATAGACGGAGCCGGGCATGGGAGAGGGCCTCGGGGCAAACCCTGGTGCTCAGCCGATGGTGGGCGTGGGTCTTCAGGAAAGCATCCAAGATGACTGCGCTGGCCAGGTCACGATCTTGCCCCCAGCACGGCCCAAGCAGGGACAGCATCGGGAACCAACCTTCGTCGCTCTCGACCTACTCCCGCCACGGTCCTGGAAGGTTCACAGCGCCTGGGGGCCACCTAAGAGCATGGGTCTTCAACACAGGGCAGAACTTCTAGTGGAGCATGTCATCCGAGCCCCCACACCTGAAGCAGCACCCCCGGTCAACATTATGAAACCTGGCCGAGGTGCAAATTCCCTGGACAGAATCCAAATAATACCCGAGGTGAGGTGGGTGCCCGACGCCTTTTTCAACCGCCCGAAACCGCGCGCGTAGCGCCAGCATCACAAGGATGGACACCTCCAACAACCACCTTCCAACGCGCGTCTGCAAGTGAACCAGCGGCGCGATGTCCGATCTTAAACCACGCAATTGGTGGTGAACGCGGCCCTGGAGGTACCTACTGTCCCGCCTGGTCCAGGAGTGGAGGATGTCGGCGGCGTCGTCATTCGTGCTTCGTATCATGGAGTTCATCCACCAGACAGAACCAGTTCGCCCCAAGATAAAATCATCATCCAGAAGTCCCGCCGCAAGCTCCTCGAACACATATTGGGCGCTGTCTAGCGCCCGACACTTCGATAAAACCCTAAACTTAGTTGCCTTGTCCATTATCCCAAGGTCCACAAATTCCAGAGATGCCCCAAGATGCCTCCTCTGCGCGAACATACAGCGGTTAAATGCATGTCTGGGACCCGCGGCCAGGATCTGTAGGGCTTCCCGGTACCGACGAAAAATCCCAGGGGTGACTCCGACAAGCTGCAGTCGACACTGCAACGCGGAGAGGCAACTCGAGTGGGAGAGTCGAATGGTGGTGGGCAAAACGAGAAAGAGAGAGAGAGAGAGAGAGAGAGAGAGAGAGAGAGAGAGAGAGAGACAGAGACAGAGACAGAGACAGAGACAGAGACAGAGACAGAGAAAGAGAAAGTGAAAGAGAAAGAGAAATACAGAGAAAGAGAAAGAGAAAGATAAATATAAAGCGAGAGAGAGAGAAACAAAAAAAGAAAGAAATAAAGAAAGAGAGAGAGAGAGAGGGAGAGAGAGAGGGAGAAACAAAAAGAGAGAGAGAGAGAGAAAGAGAGAGAGAGAGAGAAAAAAAAAAGAGAGAGAGAGAGAGAGAAAACAAAAAGAGATAGAGAGAGAGAGAGAGGAGAGAGGAGAGAGAAAAAAAGAGAGAGAGAGAGAGAGAGAGAGAGAGAGAGAGAGAGAGAGAGAGAGCACGCGCGCAACAGACGAACTCGCTGCCAGAACTTAATCATCACTTCCTGCCATGCCACTGTACTGCGCGCGCCGTCGGTCCAACCCAGAAACCTCAGCGCAACGCATGAGTCGCAGAACGTATCGCCTGGAAACGGCTACCCTCTCGCCGCGCGTGCTCCGACAGGCGCTCGCATGAGAGAGAGAGAGAAGGAGAGGGAGAGAGAGAAGAGAGAGAGAGAGAGAAGAGAGAGAGAGAGAGAGAGAGAAGGGCCAGAGAGAGAGAGAGAGAGAGAGAGAGAGAGAGATAGAGAGAAAGAAAAGAAAGAAAAGAGGAGAGAGAGAGAGAGAGAGAGGAGAGAGAGGAGAAAAAAAATCAAAAGAGGAGAGAAGGAAACAAAAAAAAGAGAGAGAGAGAGAGAGAGAGAGAGAAGAGAGGAGAGAGAGAGAGAGAGAGAGAGAGGAGAGAAAGAGAGGGATAGAGAGAGAGAGAAAGAAGATAGAGAGAGAGAGAGAAAAAAAAAAAAA